CAAATTTGCTATCGACTTCATTCGTAATTGTGAAGCGTGACTCCTTCGATCCGAGAGTTGCTCTTTTTTCCGCTTTATACTCTTTACTTTTTCAAGTTGAGTCTATTTAATCAACATCGCTATGCTATTAATATGTTTTCCATGTATGTACAATGGTACTCGAAATTGATTACCTGATAATTACGCTTCAATTCACTTAACCAGCCTTCAAAATCAGTTTGTCGCTTTTGTTCCTCCATTCTTTCTTCTGCTTCCTAAACATGAAGAGAAGATCAGCTATTATGTTCTTTAACAAGAGAGTTGCCGTACTAATAAAAACTAAGAATTTACATGCTGTCTTCTAACTAGTTCTTTAGCCTCTCTTTGTCTTTGCCGCGACTCGTGAAGACTTTTTGCTGCAATCTGTTTCTTTTTTTCTTTTTTCTCGGCGTCATTTAATTGATCATCTGGGATATCTACCAACGGAAAGGTAGGTTCTTCCTAAGATCAATTGGTATAAATGAGTAACTAATCCGAGATGTTTTTCGAAAGCCAATGGTATCCAAAAAATAGGTTATATACCTTTATTTCAACTTCATCGATGCCCAGTAGTTTATTTCTTGCTCGTTGAACTGATTTCTCGGTCTTTTGAATTAACTCGTCTAATTCTGCCTCGTCACTTATCCTGTTTTCTTTAAGTCTCGCCTGTTATTCAAAGATCAGAGTTAAAGAAGAAAATAACCTGACAAATATAAATTTTTACTTTACTATTACCATAAATTCTGACTTTCTTATCGATGGTTTACTTGTTTTTAGTTCCATATAGGAAGATAAAGTGGCTTCAAGTTCCCTCAACTAATATCATAAGATTAGACAATTGGAAATTAAATTTGATGAGCATTATTACATCCAAAAAAAAGTGCTAGCCACCTTTTTCTCGCGCAATCTTGCTGCCTGCTCCTTCAATCGACGTGCTTGTTCTTGTTTCCTTTCTTCCGCCCTGGCTAATTCTTCTTCGGTTTTTTCATTTGCCTATCATGATGTAATGATAAAATTGATTGATTTAATCAAGGAATAATGATAATAGAAAAAATTTTCACTTACCGGTGGGATATAAGGAAATTGAATAATCCGATCTCTTTCAGCGAATGATGTTGGGTTTGCATATTCCTTTAACTCTGAAAAATAATCTTCTGCCACATAAGTATAATTATGCACTAGATACTACACGACGCGGAAATGTTGTAAAAATAAATAATAACACATTAAAGTTAATGTAATCCTAATCCGAAATTTAATTAATGGCATGACACGAAGATATCACCAACTTGCGCTTGATTAACAGTCATTTTCGTTGGAAAAGTTGGATATTTAAGTTGCATTAACTTCAACATATAATCGGTGGACGTCAGTCCTCCATATGATATCCTAATTGACATATTAGAAGTTTAGAAGTGCATAGAACTTATAATAATGTGAAGTTAAATCATACAAACAAAACCTTTTGGTTTGCTCCAAAACCCCACGACCATCGACTACTGGTATAACATGTGTGGTGGTATGACCAGAAGAGATGATGATCCCCCCATCTAACGATAAACCATTTGCATGGTAGCTAAAGAGGGCATCAATACCGTAACACACTGAAGGTACGCGGTAGCATTCGAATAACAATTCAGACATCACTATAAAAGAAATAATTTAATAAAAACCTATACGTTATATCAAAAAAAGCATGATAACTCACATTTCCTTGAATGACTTGGATTACAAATAGGTTCAGTCATTAAAATTGGGTGTTCTACCGTTTCAGTAGTTATTCCGAGTTTTACGAATATGTAATCCAAAGTGTACTCCTGTGTGAATTTAATGAAAGA